GACTAAACTTGAACTTGACCTGTGCATTCCTTTGACGTATCTATATATTAAATTTGATAATGTGTACAACTGTTGGGGAGATTATGAACGGGAACTAAAAATGTTCAATGTGAAAGGGGGATAACTCAGCCAAAAATAATCAACCAAGATTTAATTCAAATTTTACCTTCGCAACCTGCACCTTCCTATGATATATCCAAGTGTAAAATTTGAGTAGAATGTGTGCAACCGTTACCAAGAAAATGAACGGAAACTGATGGTGACAGAATGACGGAATGACGGAACGGGGTAACGCTATATTCCCCAGGCATAAAAAATCTATTTTAGAATTCCTGTATATGACAGTTTGTTCGGCGGACCAAACAAAACTGCATTACAAAAGCACCTTTCATTAAACAGAAAAGAACATGTTACATCGAAGAAAAATATAAAAATTGACAAGTTGTTAGGTCGAAAAAAAATAAGAATCTTGTTCAAGAATACGTATAAGACATTTTGTTCGGTCGACCAAACAAAACTGCTTTACAGAAGCACATTACATTAGACAGAAAAAAAACGATGTTACATTCAAAGAAAAGATAAAAATTGCCTTTTTTCGGTCGACCGAACAAAAAAGAAGAGATAAAATATCCTGTTCAATAATACCTGAGTAGATATGTTGTTCAATCAACAGAACAAAACTGCTATACAACAGCACGTATCATTAGATAGAAAACAACATGTTAAATACAATGAAAAGTTGTAGACTGAAATTTCGTTTGGTCGACTGAACAATAAAACATTTGATAAAACCTGTTAGAATTTCTGTACAGGACATATTAGAACAAAACTGCTTTACAAATTAAAGTACATTTAATTAGAAACAAAAATAAATCTTACAAAATACAAATTGTCATTTTGTTGTGTCGACCGAGCAAAATAAAAAAGATAAAAAACAATCCTGTACAAGAATACCTGTATAAGACATTTTGTTCGGCCAAAACTGCTATACAATGGCACTTATCTTTGGATACAGAAACCATGTCACATTTAATGAAAAGATAAAGATTGACATTTTGTTTGGTCAACTAAAGAAAAAACGTTTGATAAAAAATCATGTTTAAGAATTCCTGTATAGGACATTTTGTTCGGTCAACTGAAAAAAAAACTGCTATACAAGAGCACATTTCATTAGACAGAAACAAAATATTTCCACTGAAAATACTAAAAAAATGTCATTCTGTTCGGATGAACAAACAAAACAAAAAAGAAGAATTTAAGATAAAAAATCTTCTTCAATAATACCTGTATAAGACGACCCTTATCCAATGAAAAGGTATAAATTAAAATTTTGTTTGGGGGACTTAAAAAAAAAACATTTAATCGAAATCGGAACTAAACAAATATGATAACAACTCATGTATAAGAATTCCTGTATAGGACATTTTGTTAAGTCGCAAACTAAACAAAAATTGTCTTTCTCTTCGTTCGACCGAACAAAACTGCTATACATCAGCGATTATCATTAAAATATAACAAAAGAACATGTTATATTTAATGAAAAACATAAAAATTGTTTGATCGACCGAAGAAAAGAAAATTGATAAGAAATCCGGCGTTGGATATAGAAATAGTCTCCGTCCGCCATCTGTCCTTCCGTCCTACCGTCCCACATTTTTGCCCGGAGCATATCTCAAAAAGTATTTGAGGTATCAAGTTGAAACTTCATGGGTGGATAGACCATATTAAGGAGGAGTGCATCACACAAGAAAGATAACACTATCCTGCATAATTTTTCAGTTATAGCTTTTTGTTATTTTTCAAACTTAATTTTTTCCCCAGATCATAACATTAAAAGCCTTTGAGATATCAACATGAAACTTAGGGAGAGGAACTATATAAGTTTTCTTTCTTTCTAATCCCTTTCAATTTATGTAACAATTATTCACATATAAAATGTAATATATGTAAAATATTGAAATAAATATGTTTAAACTACTAGCATGAAACTTCACAGGTGGATAGATCTTATCCAGGAGATGTGCAGTGCATAAAAATAATAACTTCACCTTTCATAATTTTTTAATTATTGCCCTTTGTTATTTTTTATACTTAATTTTTCACATAACTAAAAAAGTCTTTGAGATGTCAGCATAAAACTTCATAGGTGGATAGATCTTATGGAGAAGGAATGAGGTGCGCAAGAATGATAACTCAAAAAAATAGATAAAAATAGAATCCCTAAAGAAAGCCCAACACGGCAAAATTGAAAATGTTGCAGGCTCGGTTTGATTGAGCCTGTTCATGGACGGTACTGAAAAGTGCAAGTTACCGTCCACGCCCCCTAGCACCGGCTTAAGCAGAATTCAACATTTAAACATGAATTAGTATAATTTCTAATTTAGAAACATCCGCAGATGTGTTCATACGGCGGTTATCATGGAACCTTCAATGTGACACTTCCGTGCCATGCCATGAAAAGCGGCGTATGGTCCCCAAGTAATAAAAAGCTTTATAATTTTTGAGTTTTTGCTCTTTGTTTTTTTATACATACTTTTTGTCCGGAGCTTATCTCAAAAAGTGTTAAAGGTATCAACTTGAAACTTAGATCTCATTGAGGAGGAGTGCAGCACACAACAATGATAACCTACCCTGCATTATTTTTCAGTTATTGCCCTTTTGTTATTTTTCATATTATTTTTGTCCAAAGCATACCTAAAAAGCCTTTGAGATATCAACATGAAACTTCAAATAAGGATAGACCTCACACAGCAGGTGTGTCGTGCACAATAATGATATCCCTATCCTTCGTAATGTTTGAGTTAAGTATGAAAAATAACAAAGGGCAATAACTGAAAAATAATGTAGGGCAGGTTATCATTGTTGTTATTTTACTTATTGTTTTTTCTGGTGGAGCATAACTCAAAATATCTTTGAGATGTCAACATGGAACTTCATAGGTAGATTGATCTTTTTGAAGAGGAATGCTGTGCACAGGAATGATAACTTTTCCCGTTATTATTCTTGAGTAATTGTCCTTTTGTTCATTCTTTATGTCCGGAGCTTATGTAAAAAAAATAATACAGGTATCAACTTGAAGATTCATAGGTTGATAAATCTCATTTAGGAGAAGCGCATCACTCAAGAATGATAATGCTACCGTGCATAAGTTTTCAGTTATAACCCTTTGGTATTTTGCATGCTTATATTTCGTCCAGACAGTAACTCATTACATATTTACTATATTAGGTATTCATTTGAAACTTCAATTAAAACTTAGTCTCAGTCCGTAAGGTAGTACGTCCGTCCTTCCGTCCGTCCGTCATTCAATCCCACATTTTTCTCCGGAGCATATCTCAAAAAAGTATTTTAGGTATCAACTTTAAACTTCATAGGTGGATAGATCATATTAAGGAAGAGTGCAGTGCACAAGAAAGATAACTCTACCCTGCATAATTGTTCAGTTATTGCTCTATGTTATTTTTTAAACTTATTTTATTCCAGAGCATAACTCGAAAAGCCTTTGAAATCTCAACATGAAACTTTACAGTTTGATAGATCTCACTCAGGAAGTGTGCAGTGCAAAAAAATAATAACTTTATCCCCCATAATGTTTTAGTTATTTCTCTTTGTCATTTTTGTGCCCCACTATAGTGGCGGGCATTTAGATTTACCCATGTCCGTCCTTCCGTCCATTTGTCCGTCCTTTCTCTATTGTGTCGCACGTAACTCAAGAAGTATTTGACCTAGAGTCATAAATCTTAACAGAAATGTTAATCAGCATGTGCAGTTGTGTACCTGGGTATTTTACTTTTATAATATTACTATTGTTGTTTTTGGTTTTAGTGTTGTATGATAATAATGATTATAAAAATAGGAAGTAGAGAAGAAGAAGAAATAGAAGAAAAAAGAATAAGAAGAAGAAGAGGAAAATTCAATGATGAATGAAAATAATTTTAATTATCTTCACATAATGATTCGAATTTGTTCGAATCTTTTTGTTTTCAACAAAAATTATTGGACATATTAAATTCAATTAGATTTTCACTTTTTAAAAGTATGCAACTAGAAAATTTCAACAAGTATGCCCCCACATCCCACTGTATTGTGTGTCTACTGACGTACAGAAGGAGAGTAGGGCAGAATAATAGACAAAGGAAATATCATATGACTCCCTAATCCCTGAGTTGTTGAGGCATAAAAAACGACATTCATTTTTTCTTTTTTTTCCAAATATTGAGCTGCAAGAACTTCAAATCAAAATGTTATGTTCTAAAGTATGCACACGCACACGCACGCACGCAGCCACACACACGCACGCACACCAACACACACACGCGCGCGCGCACACACACACACACACACACACACATTCAGACATACAATGGGAAGTGAAAGTTACCATCCACGCCCCCTAGCACCGGCTTAAGGAGAATTCATCATTTACTCATGGTAATGGTGAAATTTTGAATTTAGAAACATCCGCAGATGTATTCATAAGGCGGTCATCATGGAACCTTCAATGTGAAATTTTCGTGCCATTCCATGAAAAGCGGCGTATGGTCACAAAGTTAAAGAAAGCGTGTGCCCTAAAAGAGAAAACAATAGGCGGAACTAAATAAAAGGGGATCAGAGGTTATGAAGCCTGAATATCACAGATATGACGCCAAAAAACATTTAAAAAGCAGGCAACATACCCTAGGGGTGATTCAACATTATTCCAGCAGAAATATTGGAACCACCCAACTAGAAAAATGCTAAAAAGTAAGAACAAAAGTACCACAAACACAACAATAATGTCGTGTTGAACGATCTTTAAGGATCGGAAATATAACATCCCTGATTGAATGTACGGGGCGACTTTTTACTAAAATATAAATAAATATGAATTCCTAAAGAAAGCTAAACAAGACAAAATTAAAAATGTTGCAGGCTCGGTTTGATTGAGCCTGTTCATGGACGGTAATGGAAATAAACACTATTTATTTATTCAAGCATTAGTACAGGAAATGTTGCATTACCTTAAATGTATTGTGTTAGAATCTGTACTTTGTATGTTGCAGGTTGTTGATTCTGCCAAATTCCATGGCACATTATTGACCAAGCACTTGGAAAAAGCGTTTTCCTAAAAGAAAACATTTCTGTTTACAGCAATAACAATGTTATCAAAATAGTCAAATATCGATAGTGTATTTGAAAGTACGTTTTGAAAGAGTTTACGTAGAATAAAACCAATAAACTTTGCATATTGGTTAAATGATCATCTCTGTTTAAGTTACGACGAGTAATTGCAGACAGCTCGGGACAAGGTGTTTGTTATGTAAATATAACTTAATTTTATATGCTTTAAGAGGTGTGGACTTTGTTAAAAGCATCTGTAAAAGGTTTCATTTTAAGTGAAGATTTTCAATAAAATATGTAACATCACACTGAATGTCAAATACAGTAAAAACCATCAATAAAGACCCACAAAAGTTGTTTTAATTGCGAGGTGGTCTCAGTCGCAGATCTTTTTTGATTGCTTATATATTTTATGACCATGGTCTATTTTAGTAATTTTGTATCAATAAAAAATACATGTTACCCTACATGTACAAAATAAAAAATATGTTATAATATGTAATACCATTCTGATAAGAGCAAATCCTATTTCTGAAGAATTTTAATGATAACTTTTTCTGATTTTAACATCAATTATTATATGATGTACTTAATTCAACTATTCTATTAGAAAACAATTCTTTACAGGGTCAATCAAATAAAAGCAATATTAAACTACAATGACTCTAAAGTTTTAAACAATAACCCAATAACCCTATAATAAAAGTTGTTGACACCAAGTGAAATCAAGTGTCATGCCCGAGCATTTAAGCGGATAAAAACAATAAATTCATGATCTCGGTAGGTGTGACTATATCATCAGTGGTCTCAAAAGCGGGTACAAATAAAGGATAAAACAAAGAACTTAAAGTGGTCTTAAAAGTGAATAATCAGGATGGTCTTAATTCTGGATCATGTAATCATTGACATAAAGAGAGCAGAAAATTCCGTCCTTAAAAATGGTTTTAATAACGGGGTGGTCTTAATTCCAGTGTGGCATTAAGAAGGGATTCTACTGTTAATTTCATTAAATATCTCCGTTCGAAAAAATAAATTTGTTCGTTTCAACTGAAAATTATTTAGAATATCACTAAAGGATGAAAAGACATTAATGAGGAAAATTATTTTGAATAAACAAAAACCAGCACATATTCAACCCGCCATTTGAACTTGTCTAATGCTCATTTTATTGCTGAAGGCCATTATCAATTAGGCCACATGATTTATTTCGACCTTGTCGGAAGGTACAGACTGATGTTCACACAAATGACAACAGCTTTGCATGTTTGGTAAGGAAATGTTTTTGTTCTAGTATACTTACATACTTACTAAATTATTAACATGGATGTAAATATTTACTACTTCAAATGAGCGCTGACAGTCAAGAAAGTACCAGGATTCCAAATCAATTTCTGAAAAACAGCAATACCTCGTTAATGATATTTGACTTTGCATTCTATTATTGTTAAGCATTTTGGAAAAGAATCAGCACAAAATGTGCGTAGAATGGATACCTTATTATTTGCAAATATATAAAAACATTTAAATAATGATTGAAATTGTTTTTTTATTCTTAGGCTAAACATATATTAAGATATCTTTTGCAAATATGCATATTTCAAAATGCATTGTAAAAACGTACCGTGTTGAAGTTTTGTGAGTTGATTTTGATTTAGAATCAATTCTGAAAATTACAAACATAACAATTTAAAAATATGCTATTCAAAAAACATATAACGAATTTTAACATAAACCCTGCATTTTTTGTCAGTGAGATTAATTATTTTAAAGCAGATGTTGTATTATTTTCGAGCATTTTACATCGCCAGTACCTTTTTTCTAACCGCAGTTACTTTTTAGTGTAGTCTATATATTTAATATATAATGAGATGAATCAAATGAAAGAGGAAAAACTTTATTGTCAAGATTATTTTGCAATGTATGTCCAAGCTGTTTTATATTAACCGATATCATATAATGCTGTAATCGAGAATTACCTGTTTCTTTTCCATTATCAAAGTTCACGACTGAAAACAATTAGAAACAAAATATTTGAAACTCCATCTATGAAATTTCATAAACATAAACCAAACATAACTAAATCAAGACAATAATAATCAAGTACAACTAAACACACATATGCAAACCTACTTCATTGAATTAAAACTCCTTTACGTTTTAGTTAAACTTATAATAAAATTGATTTAAAGAACATCTGTAATCTTTTAATCACACATGTGTGATATAACTTTTTTCCCTTTAATCTGAAATATGAACGCTTAATATTGAACAAACATAATGCCTGAAAGATATTGTTCTTTGGTTTGTTATCTTGTCGAAGTTTTTTAGGTTATAATTCAAACAGTTTTTACGGTTTGATCAACCAAGAGAATAACTAATAAGAGACTCTATGCTTTTTCATTTCTGATAATGACAGTATAATTTGTAGACACGCGACTTTCATAGCAATTCAGCAACTCAGAACATAATTTGTCTGAATAGAAGAACCTTGCATTGTGTATGTTACAATTGGACTACACAGTTTAAATAGTTTTAGTTCGTATGAATGAAAGGCCGAACATTATTGTTCGGGATTTAAATTAATGTACGTACAAAAAGCGAGGATATGCTTTTTTTCTGTTCAAAAAACAAGCTGTAATTTCTGTTTAAATAATGCTTTAAATCAGCATACCTTTTGGGTTGTAAAAACAGTGCGTGAGTCCTTCAGATATTGTTGAAACGTCAAATGTTGGACAATTCTTGTCTGAATCCTGTATTTTTAAAGAAAATAATGTTTTCGTAGCAGTTTTTTTTTCAAATACCATTTTACATGAGTCAATCGTATTTTACAGATTATTAGTATCATTAACGCTTTTTATACAAAATCTGGATAGAATATAATGCGTCTTGTGAACAAAGACAATTTAAGACCACATGTGTACACCAATATATTACACACGACTGATTTTTAAAATTGTGCTTGCTAGAGGCATTTTTAGTACAAGTGTTATCTTGAATGATTTAACCTAATTAGGGTATGCTGAAGAGGATAAGGGTGGATACCAAGAAAAGAAAAAAAACTCTTCAAAATATCAAAGAAAAATGGCTTTTTAAAAGTATATGTTGTCAATAAAAGTATAATATTGATAAAAGTAAGACATGATTTATTTACATGTTTTATCATTATCTAACATTTGTTGAGTTTATACAATGCTTTTACTGATTTCATAATACTTTTTAGGTTGTATTAGATCAAAATATACCCAAATAATTGTACGCAAATAAAGTCAAAATGTCATACGAAACAATATTTTTTCCAAAGCAATTTTTTATCCAAATTTCACAGATCAATTGTATTAATACATACTGAAATTATCTCAATGATCTCTTTGATACAGATATGTCCATTTGTTTGCAACCCCATATACGTCACATCTTAACTCATGATTTTTTGAAACGGGTGAACGAATTTTTGCCAGGCAAGTGGTTTTTTTTGTTATTTTGAAGTTCATTAGTATGTCTATTCCATAATGCAATATATATGCCACACTCGGTTTAAGGTTTCAGCATCCTTTATTCTGTTTTGACGAAGTTATTGAAGATATAAACTGATCATGTAGATATTTTTAAATTGACATGTGACTGTTATGGTCGGTTTTTCTCCTAATTTAATCGAATTTGTAAGTTTAGAACTGCATTTAACAATAACAAAATATGTTTCTGTCAATGCTGTACAAATGGTTTAGTTTGCAAGTCCGAAGATAACGTTCAATACACAAAAATATCTTGTTCAAGCACATTTTGATTGCCGACTTATACTTCAAGCCTTTTGGGTTGCAAACCTTTGTGTCAATAATGTGGCATGCATATTTTAGCGAGGAATAACTTATCATTTTTTTAAAAAAATTATTAGCAAATATTAAGGCAATTATTACCGTTCATCTAATAAGAAATATATATACCAATTGTGCATGCGTGGAGATATATCCTAACACAGGGTCTTTCAAAAAGATATAAAACACAATATGCTAAACTGAAGTTCAGTTGTGTTTATCTTGAAGTTCATCATTTTGTCTCCTCGATATACTTATTTTCTTTTACAAAGTCTTAGGACTTTTTTTTGTATCTTGGCATGACTTACTGTAAAGGAAAAGAAGAAAAAATAGCAACAAACAGCTTTCATTATTGTTCTTTTTTGAGATTTGAAATTAATTTGATTGTATAGTAGATAAAAACTATTAACACAAGGGCATTACTCACATGTTTCTTTAAATTGTTCCTTATTATTGACCAATCGAAACATCTTCCAAATTCCATAACTCGAACAATGACTTCAAGTAAGTTTTGTCACGTATCAGTCAATGTAAATAACCAATCGTATATCATTTATATTATGATCTAATAATCAAACTCATCTTTAGAATACCAATTGACATAATGATGTACATAAAGTCCTAAATATTGTAAACAAGCATGCCATTTTAATTTTTGGTTTGTAAAAATATTTTAAGTACATTAACATAATTTATGTCTAAAGCAACTCCTGATCTTTACATACGAAACAAACAAATTAACATTTCTTGTGGTTTTGATAAAATTTGGAAATTTTACCGAGATACATCGTATGTGTGCACATGTCCTTATGTTTATGATGAAAATAATTCACTTACATACAACAGTACTCTCACATACGTTTGTTTTGTATGTAGTTTTCATTTGCATTTTACATAATTATGATGACATATTTTAGAATTGAAGTATCAATAAAATTAATATTTTTCTATATACTATTATCTTACTGATGATTATAGTATTGAACTGAGAACCATGTACATGAAACATAAATTGCATAATTGTTGTAAAAGAAGAAAGTATAAATAACATTTATGACAAAAACAAGTAACAGTACATAAATGTCAATAATTGCCATTGAAAATAGGTTAATAAATATAACCTTCTACACTCCTTTTGCAAAGATTTATTAAGGAATTAAATAGAATAAGAATAAGTCTGCAACCAAAATGTGCTTGAGTAAGATTTTTTTGTGTATTGAACGTTATCTTCGGACTTGCGAACTAAACCATTTATACAGCATTGACAGTAACATAGTTTGTTATTGTTAAATGCAGTTTGAAACTTACAAATTCGAAAAAAAATTAGGAGAAAAACCGACCAGAACATTCATATGTCAAATTAAAAAATATCTATATGATCAGTTTATATCTTCAATAACTTCGTCAAAACAGAATCAAGGATGCTGAAACCTTTAACCGAGTGTGGCATATATATTGCATTATGGAATAGACATACTAATGAACTTCAAAATAACAAAGAAACCCACTTGCCTGGCAAAAATTCGTTCACCCGTTTCAAAAAATCACGCCGTGTTCACCATTTTGTCCAGTTTGCAACCAATTCGCTCGCTTGAACCAAGTGTGCAACCACTTCACGTCCTGCCCCTTGTTTAAATGAAAGTTTATTGCATCCTTTGTTAGATAGGTTGATTCTGGTGTCTTTGTTTTGAAAAACGAATATACCGGACCACTTAATATATCTAGTTTACAATATAGATACGGCAGGGAAATTTCTCAGCTGAGCTAATCTTTCATCAGTTAGATCACCAACTCCTATATCTTTAAACAATTCACGGTGTTATCTAAATATTTTCTATGAAGACCGTTTGGAACGGTTTTCAAAATATGATGTTGTGTCAAATCAAGTGCAAGAAATGCTAATATATGTGTTTTACTATTGTCTGGTAGGCCACCTGTAATAATATGTAAATATGGGAAATTCTGTTTTTTGCGATGTTACCGACATCATCCAAATTTCTCTTCAGAATGCACGTGAGAAGTAACACACAAGAAGAATAAGTACGTTTGAATATGTGGATGTCACAGCTTCTACATAATGTTGAGAGTAAACAACATGCAAAACTAATCTTGAATCTGCTTCTTCGTTGGGTGAGCTAAAGCGTGAAACATCTGACTTTTTCTCTGGAAGATCTTTACTCCTGTTCATCCACACAAATCAGCCTGAGGCAAAAATGTCTTTGTAAACGGGTATCTGTGAGACCAATGCAGCAGACATAAACTGCGCTAAATCTGCTTTGTTTTCTGGAAGAACAAGGACGTTTATTCAATTCTTTGAAAAGGGATTTCACGAACTTCGACTAATCGTTTTATTAGTTTGACTGTCTTTGGCCTCCTTGCCCTCGTCTTAATTGTGATGAAGTCATCATTATAATGGTCAAGGACAACATCAACATACCTGATAGAACTCTAAAGGTTTCTGTATTTTGTTGTTTTCCAATTGCAACAATAATAGCTTGACCATCAATCACCAACTATGCGACCCTTTTATTCATCTCAAAAGCCTCTGGACAACTTATCCCTACCATCAATTCATCTGAAAGAACTTCTGTTTTCCAGTGTGAAAAGATCCATTTATTTCTGTCAAAGATACCGGCACGTCAAATTTCAGGACAGACTATCAGTAAGCTTCTCGTCAATCCTCATATGATGCAGTAATTTAGCGCTGTAAAACATTTCTGGCAATTTCGTGATAATAGTCTTTTCCCTTTCCTTCCCGTCTTTTCTTATGGAATACCATTTGGCAAATGTTTGAGCATTTTGCTTTTTTCAAAGGAAAATGTATCTTTATAATTTGTCTTTCTTCTTGGTTATCTCTGAGCAATATGTCTTTCGCATACTTTTTAATCTATTCTCTTCCATACTTTGAAGAACTCAGCACAATGATTCCTTTCTTTCCTCTGTAGCAAAAATAATTTTAGCAAAATTCTGTGAATAGTCAATGTGGGATCTGGATGAAGTACTTTAAACCTTTGACATGTACTTGTTTACGAAAGTTAAACTACTGTATGTCGTTTTTGTCTAGATTTTTGTGCTTCAGGATGTACATAATTATGTTTGGCCATTACTCATACCGTACAGACTATATGTGATACTATATGCCATCGTAGCAAAGTGCAGACGTTGATTCAGTGATGACAACATTTCCCCTATCACTTTGTCCTGTACCATGTATCTATTCATGTATCTGATCTGTATCAACTTTGCGACAATTCTGAGACAAACGTTTAACGAAAAAAAAATTTTTTGGATTCCTCTTAGACTGGGAGTGAAAACCTATTTATTTCAGCTAAGTAAATTGGACTCCATTTGCGTAATTTAGATCATACCTCATGACGACTGCAAGCATCTTATAAAGGATTGTTTGTACAACTCCAAACATCCATCATGTTTTGACCAAGAAATTATAAGCAGAATTGTCAAAAGATCTATATATGTCTACAAGCTGTGCATGACATCCAAGATCTGCCTCTAGTGCAAAGACAGTATGTCTGGCATAATAATCTTCCACAAGGCTAGAGCAGTCAGTTTATGTGCCCCAGTCCTTTTTTTAGCTTTACCTTAAAACACTTATTTTGTTAGACCAGGACCCGGTAATCCATTTTCAAACCAAACGTCAGCTAGTCCACGGTAATCCATATGATCATCGATAATTTTTAGAAAGTATTTTAATATATGGAGTAAGCAAAGTCGTGGAAAACATCATTCTTGTTTTCAGGAATCTCTTATTTAAATTCCATTAACTTACAGTAGAGAGGTTAATATACTATGATAACCAAATATTCATGTCCATGACTTGCAGAAACGGTCAAGCATCTGAGAATTACTGTGTTCAACGAGTTATATTCATGAGCAGGGGCAAAGTTTTTTTGGTTAGCATCTACCAATGGTCTAACCTCCG